TTTGCACAAGGTTGTGAGAGAAAACCACCAAGACCAGATAAGGGCAGAAGCTTTCTTCTGTGAAGGACCTCCACAGACCTGGGACTTCACAACAATTCAACAGCTCCACTGTCACTTTCATCAATTTCTTTTGAGCTAAATTCGTAGAAAGCTCCTGCCCTTATCTGGTCTTGGTGGTTTTCTCTCACAACCTTGTGCAAAAAATCACTGCTGTGGTCAATCTCCAAGAAGGGTCCACTCCTCTGTGGTTTAATACCATACCTCACCAATTTGAGCATTGATGGAATTTGAGCTGTAAATTTGGGTTATTAGGGGCAGCACGGTGGCTCAGTGGTTAGTATTGTTGCCTCACAACGCCAGGGAACTGGGGTCGATTCTACCCTTGGGTGATTGGCTGTGTGGAGTTTGCATATTGTCCCCATGGGTTTCTTCTAGGTGCTGTGGTTTCCTCCCACAGTCCAAAGATGTGCAGGTTAGGTAGATTGGTCATAGTGTCCAGGGATTTATAGGCTGGGTGGGTTAGCCATGGGAAATGCAGAGTTACAGGGATATGGTCAGGGAGTCGGTATGGGTGGGATGTTCTTTGGAGGGTTGGTGTGAGCCCAATGGGTCGAATGGCCTGCTTCCACACTAGGGGTTCTATGATTCTAGGCCAGGAGCATAAACACAACGCCATCATACTCATCACTGTACCCATCATCACACAAAATCCACTGTACCCATTGCCCGATGATAGGGACCACACCACTAATTAGGCATGCGCAATAAATGACAGCCCAGCCAGTGAGAACCACATGCCTTGAATGGATTAGAAAAACAACATTCTTTCTGACATTTCCTGGGTAACATTTCCAGTACATCAGAACTGTCTGAAGCTTCTGATTCTAACCCAGTGTTGGAGAGTATTATGGTGGGTACTGGGATTGTGAAAATTGCTCAAATTTCCCAGGCAACTCACAGAGTCAGTGCATTGGGATCTCTGAAGAGTCCTCAACCTAGGATATATGTCTGCTCTGCATCAGCAAATTACTCCAAGCCACAACTGGAGTGGAAGACGATTCTTCTGGGCAGAATTAGCCTTTAATTTTCCATTAGGACTATTCTTTTTTGTCACTGTATTTTCTTAAAACTTGCCACAGGGCACATTGACAGTTCTAATCCCACTGGAAGTACTCTATGTTGGCCTTTAGAAGAATTAATTAATAGCGCTGTGCTGTGTAATAAGTTTGGAAAAATATATCTGGATCACCAACTACTCAGTTTGAACTTCTCTGGCCTTAGTCCTGTGTGTCTGTTATAATATAGATCACCCCTTCAATAAATCATTGCGCAGCCACCACTCACCTCTGTGTGAATAAACGTTGGCTAGATATATTTTGACTTCAGGATGCCTACTTTTCACTTTTAGAATAGAAGGATTAATACCAACACAGTAATATTCCACGCAGAATGAGAGAGAAAATGCCAGGACAGACATGAAAACATTGCCCAATCCCCAGGAGTGAGGTATCTCATCAACCAGGATTTATCGGAGTACTGCTGCATCCACTTCCTAAACTAAACAGCCCTTTGCCACAAGATAATGGGGTTTCAAGAAGGAAGCCCTTCACCTCCTTCAGAAGGGTTAATCGGAATGGACAACACCAAATATCAGCCCTACTGATGACAAGTAACTCCAGAAAAATAACCTTTTTTAAAAAAGTTGTATTGTGCATATTTCTGCTGCCTGGCTATCTATAGTGAATTCTGAACTATGCATCATATGTTTGTATCTGATATCCTAACTATGATAAATCCAATTCAGTTTTTTTTTCACAAAATCGAAACAAGAAATTGCTGGAGAAATCCAGCAGATTTGGCAGCTTCTGTGGAGAGAAGGCAAAGCTAATGGTTTGTGCCCTACCTTTCTTCAGAATTTTAATTCAATTTTTTTTCACCATTCATCATTTTGGCAAGAGATGGTCTTGCACTGGACTTAAGCTGAGGGAGTTGCTGGGAGCCTCCTGACAATAACTCCGAGCCCCTCTTCATGTTGGTTTGAGTCACCATCCCCATGGAATAATGTGGAAAGCTTCATTGCACTAAATATGCCACAAAAGTGCAACTTTTGGTTAGAACTGGCATTGACACATCTAATTTAAATTATTGGACAGAATAGTTTCATGCAAAACAGAGACAAGATATGCAAAGGATAAACTGTAGGCCAGCTCTCGCAGAATGCTGTGGGTATAACAGGTCCAGGGTAGACAGTACTGATGTCAACACAGGTTTAATCTCTGTCACTCAGAGCCTCTGATTAAAAACCAACTTTAAACCAACTTTAAACTGGGCCCGAAACGTTAACTCTGATTTCTCTCCAGAGATGCTGCCTGACCTGCTGAGCTTTTCCAGAAATTTCTGATTTTGACTCTATTTAAATATTGGCTTGAAATATGCAACTGAACAGGTACATTTTACTTACCATAATCTGACGTCACGTGTTCTTCGGATTCATTAGTCATGAGGTTTTCTATCAACAGCAAAAAGAATGGTAAAACAGAGCATCCTTTTATCAAAATCATGCTATCAAGGACACAAACCAAACCTACATTTTCCACATAAAAATACTGAAACTGTAGATAAAATGTGTTAGAATTGCATTTTCCTATTAGAAAGTAGAGTTGTTTCATAGTCAAATTACAGTAAGATGCATTTTCACTGCTGATGGTACACAAACCCATTCTGTGCTGTTGGTAGGGTGTGTTTGCAGAAGGAGAGGACAGAGAGCCTCAATGGGACATAGATCTACATGGTTACAGAAGAAATTAATGGTTATTTTCAATCCCAAACAGATTCACCAGAAAATTAATAAGCCACATAATGGGAACAGCCATTCCTTTAACGTCAATGGGTGAACATCCTGGAACTCCCTTCCCAGTGGCATTGTGGGTGTACTTAAATTGTAGTTACCTACTTAGGACTGCAGCAGTTCAAGGAGGCAGTTCCTCACCACCTTCTCAAGGGCAATTAGGTACTAAAGAAGATAGCCTTGAGAACAGTAGATACATTGTTGCTGTCTCCCAAAATTCTGTAACGTCTAGAAGAGTTCCAGTAGATCCCTGGGTGGAATTGTGGATGGTGAGGAGAATATAAAGAGTGTTCAAACTAATTTTGACAAGTTGAAGGAGTGGACAAATGCATGGTAGATGAAAAATACAGCAGATAGGTGTAATGCTATTGCACTTAGTTAGAAGAATCGCAGTGTATTATTTAGGTAGTGAAAGATTGGTATTTGTTGATGTGCAAAGGGACCTGGGTCTTCTTGTACACCAACCATTGAAAGTAAGCATGAAGTTTACAGCAAGTAGACAGGATGGCAAATGGTATGTTGGCCTTCATTGCAAGAGGGTTTGAATACAGGAGTAAAGATGTCTTACTGAATCTGTGCATGGCATTGCTGAGATTGCACCCGGGATATTGTGTGCAGCTTTGATCTCTAACCTAAGAAAAGTGAAAGTTAATCAGAGTGGGAATGCAGCAAAGGTTCACCAGACAGATTCCTGGGATGGCAGGCTTGCTGGTTGAAGAGAGAGTTGGTCGACTGTGCCACTATTCATTGGAGTTCAAAAGAATGAGAGGGGATTTTACTGAAATAAATAAAATTCTGACTGGGCTAAATAGACTAGAGGCAGAGATGATGTTTCCCCTGATTAGGAGCTTTAGAACAAGAGGTGCTGGTCTCATGATGAATAGTAAGCCATTTCAGACTGAGACGAGGAGAATTTTCTTCACTGAAAGGCTAATGAACCTGCAGATTTCTTGACTACAGAACACTTTGGCGGACATGTCAATGAACATATTTAAGAATGAATAGAATCACAAGACTAAAAGTGCCACGGGATATGGGGAGAGCGCGGGAATATGCCATCACAATAGAGAATCAGCCATAATGCTTAGTTGTTGAGCAGGTTAGTGGGCAGAATGGCTTACTCCAGCCCCTATTTTCTATGTTTGGATGAGACATGTATAATTATCACAAGTCTATGATAGTTTGTAGATGGCTTTGGTAAGTTTGACATTGATCAACATCATAAGCTGTAATAGGTCCTACTGCATTGCAACAATAGATGAAGGAGAACAGTAACGATTTCAGCCCATGGGCCAGTCATACCTGAGGCATACTTGCAGACAAAATTGTGCTTCATGTTACACCTGTCATCATTCCACTGATAGAGGTAGGGGCCTCCCAGCCCAGGCTGAGCGGTCAGTTGGTGATACATCACTACACATGCCTCACTGCCACACGAAGGCTCATCAGCATACCAGTTCCTAGGATAGCAGGAAGTAGAGATGGTCTGATTATAGTGTAATTTCAGAAGGAGAGGAGAGGGCTTCATTAGAACAAATCATGAAATCACTTGCAAAAGAAATTAAGGATCATCTTCAATCTAAAAAGGATTCATATAAAGTCACTGGAAACAGCAGTAAGCCTCAAAAATGGCAACAGCTTTACTTGGGTCAAAATCTCTTTCTAATGGCATTCTGAGTGTAACTAAATCAAATGGACTGCAGCAATTCGAGAAGGCAGCTCACCACCAGCTTCTCAAGAACATTGGGGATGGGCAATAAATGTTGGCCCAGCCAGTAATGCCCACCTCCCATGACTGAAGAAGGATGGGAAACAAGTTTAGAATTCAGCACAGGAGAGCAAAGAGATTGGTGAAGAGGGGAACAATAGTATTTGAGAGTAAAAGTGCAAGAAACAGAAAATTGGACTGTAAGAGCTTCCGTAAGCATGTAATAAAATGCAATAATTGGCAATTAAGCCTGCAAACATCTTGTTTCTCAATTTTGTGTTTTGCATTTGTCTGAAATGGAGTTCTTAACACCAGTTCCCTGGGAGGCCAACACAGCTTAGATATTCGGGAGGGAAGTTAAAAAACACTTCAACAAAAGCCAAATACAGGACATTGAAGAGCTGAAATGAAAAACCAGAAAGTGTTGGAGAAATGTAGCAGAGATAGTAGGAACTGCAGATGCTGGAGAATCCGAGACAACAAGGTGCAGGGCTGGATGAACACAGCAGGCCAAGCAGCATCATAGGAGCAGAAAGTCTGACTTTTCGGGCCTAGACCCTTCATCAGAAAAGGGGGAGGGGAAGGGAATAAATAGGGAGAGAGTGGGAGGCAGATAGAAGATGGAAAGAGGAGAGGATAGGTGGAGAGGAAACGAACAGGTCGAAGAGGCGGGGATGGGGCCAGTAAAGGTGAGTGTAGGTGGGGAGTTAGGAAGGGGATAGGTCAGTCCAGGGAGGAAGGACAGGTCAAGGGGGCGGGATGAGGTTAGTCGGTAGGAGATGGGGGTGCGGCTTGAGGTGGGAGGAGGGGATAGGTGGGAGGAAGAACAGGTTAGGGAGGCAGGGACGAGCTGGGCTGGTTTTGGGATGTGGTAGGGGGAGGGGAGATTTTGAAGCTTGTGAAATCCACATTGATACCATTGGGCTGCAGGGTTCCCAAGCAGAATATGAGTTTGCTGTTCCTGCAACCTTCGGGTGGCATCGTTGTGGCACTGCAGGAGGCCCAGGATGGACATGTTGTCTGGGGAATGGGAGGGGGAGTTGAAATGGTTCGCGACTGGGAGGTGCAGTTGTTTATTGCGAACCGAGCGTAGGTGTTCTGCAAAGCGGTCCCCGAGCCTCCGCTTGGTTTCCCCGGTGTAGAGGAGGCCACAACGGGTACAGCGGCTGCAGTATACCACATTGGCAGATGTGCAGGTCAACATCTGCTTGACGTGGAAAGTCTTCTTGGGGCCTGGGATGGGGGTGAGGGAGGAGGTGTAGCACTTCCTGCGGTCGCAGGGAAAAATGCCGGGTGTGGTGGGGCTGGAGGGGAGTGTGGAGCGAACAAGGGAGTCACAGAGAGAGTGGTCCCTCCGGAAAGCAGATAAGGGTGGGGAGGGAAAGATGTCTTTGGTGGTGGGGTCGGATTGCAGATGGCGGAAGTGTCGGAGGATGATGCGTTGGGTCTGGCAGCATCTGTGGAAAGTAGCAGGGCTAAGATTTCGAGTCTAATATGGCTCTTCAGGATCACAGAAGGAATCAGTCATGCTGAGTTTCTGCAGCACGTTCTGTTTTTATTTTAGGAAACATTCTAATAAACAGAGATTGATAACAGTGTGGAATTTATAGTAGGCCTATCTCAAATAACAATTTTAAATTGGACATCAATTTTGGCTGAATAATGGTATTAAGCAATATGGAATTAAGATGGGTAGATTGAGCTAAATTACTAATAAACTCATTTAGTCTCTCTTAATGGCAGAACAGTCTCAAAGGTACTGGTCTTGCTATATCCCTGTACTTCGAGCAAGGTTTGTTTACTTTTTAATTAGAATGATACTGTGATTAAAAAATGCTTAACTTATGAGGACAAGTTGCACAGATTAAACCTTTATAATAGATAAAATAAAAGGTGATCTGATCGAAATGTTTACGAAGATTAGAAGAATTAATAATGTTGAGAAACAAATTCTCTTGGCATAGGAGACTAGAAAAATAGGGTTGAATTTCACCTTAACATTTTTGATTAAATCCCTAGTTAGTAAAAAAAAGCACCAGTGGTACCTATAAAATATTAGAAAATAAAATCTGTAAAATCACAAGAAGCTCGGAATTGCCTTTGAAGGAAACTGTGAATGGGGTTAATTATATAAAGAGGAAGAATCAATGTTGCACACACTGTAAGAAGACCATGTGTTTGCTCCAGGACTAGCTGTTTTGGTCGTGCTCTCACCTCTGAGTTTAAAATGTTGTGAGTTTGAGTCCTACTCGAGAAACTGGAGTGAAGATCTTGGTAAAAAGGACTTTTATGCACTGGCTGAGGAGAGCTGACATATCTGATACTCACCACCAGAGGACACTGTCTGCAAACAAATTGTGTCAAAGAAGCCGGTCCCTGAAGTCTCTCAGAGATTAGCTTTGCAATCGGTTGCCAACTTTGGAAGTATCATTATATGACTCTCCATCCCCCACCGCACTCCCCCACATTCCCACCCATCCTTCCCCCCGACAAGGCCAACTGTGCCATTGTTCGGTGACATCGATCCTCACTGAGCATTATCATCCGCCCACAAAAATCAGAAATCAAATATCCAATCAGATGATACTTGATTATCATCAAGCAGCCTTTTAAGACCATAAGACCATAAGTTATAGGAGCAGAAATTAGGCCATTTGGTCCATCAAGTCTGCTCTGCCATTCAGTCATGGCTGATAAGTTTTTCAACCCCATTCTCCCACTTCCTCCCCGTAACCCTCGATCCCCTTGACATTCAAGAGCCTATCTATCTCCACCTTAAATATACTCAATGACCTGGCATCCACAGCCTTCTGTGGCAGTAAATTCCATAGATTCACCGCTTTCTGACTGAAGAAGTTTCTCCTTATCTCCGTTCTAAAGGGTCTTCCCTTTACTCTAAGGCTGTGCCCTCAGGTCCTAGACTCTTCTACCAATGGAAACATGTCCCCAACGTCCACTCTGTCCAGGCCATTCATATTCTGTAAGTTTCAATGAGATCTCCCCACATCCTTCTTTTGTCCTTCCATGATCTTTTATTCATTTTTATAACCGATGATTGAGAGCGTCCAAGGGGCAGAATTTTCCCAAAAGTTGGCTGAGTCTCAATCTAAGTCTCATTCAAGATGGTTTTCTCTCTGAGACCTCCAGCAGGATTTCTCACCATTCTTACGGTGATCGTTCAGCACGTCATTAACATGCACAAGGCCCCAAGCACCGTCTCTCAACTCCCTCTACCACCGACGCCCAGTAGCAGCAACGTGTACCACCTATTACATGCACTGCAGTAACTAACCGAATATCCTTAGGCAGCACCATCCAAACACACAACCACATCCATCTAGAAGGACAAGGGCAGCAGATGTACGGGAACACCAGCAGCTACAAGTTCCCCTCCAAGCCGCTCACCACCCTGTCACCATTCCTTCACTGTCATTGAGTCAAAATCCTGAAATCCCTGCCTGAGGATATTGTGGGTCTACCTAAAGCATGCAGACTGCAGTGGTTCAAGAAGGCAGCTCATCACCACCTTCTTAAGAGCAACTAAGGACGGACAATAAATGCTGGGCTAGCCAGCAATGCCCATGTCCCCGTCTTGCCTCTGTCTGCCCTGTTGTGGGCTGCTTTCTCTTGAAATGAGTCAAAGGGAGGGATTGAGTCAGATACAAGTGGCTGGGATCGCCGTTGGTGCCAGCACAGATTAGGGCAAAGTGGTGAGGGTGTCCTAGGTGAGTGGGTAGGAGGCACTGAAGGTCGAGAGAGTGAGTAGAGTGTGGGTGTTGGAGTGGGTGACAGTGATTGAGCGATAATGCTGCAGGCATAGGAAGAAGGTAGAGCATGAGCCTTGCTAGTGCGGTGGCAGAGATGGAGTCAGTGTGAGGGAGTGGAGAGGAGATGGTGGCATTTACACTGGTTGAATAAATAGAAATGAATAAATAAAAACGCTCAGTAGCAGGAATTTTCGCTGCTGCCAGAACCTCCCAGCATTCACTCTGCTGGTTCCATGTTTAAACCCTGGCCAGACCGCAGTCCAGACAGTGCTAGCAGGAAGTGCCGTTCACAGTTCAAGTGTGTGGAGACAGCCAACCGAAGTGAGCTGACAGCCTGGTTTGCTGACAGAGATCCTCATGGAGAGGATAGCGCAGAGGAGACCCATTCTCTTGCTCCAGGATTAGCAAACATGACCATGGCATCGGACCATGCCTCTTGGCTCTGAAGTTGCCACTGGGGCTAGTAAGTGTCCACAGTCCACAGGAACACCCGGCAGTGAGACAAGAGCGTTTTCTTCTACTCAACCAGAGTAAATGCCACCACCTCCTCTCCACTCCCTCACACTGACTCCATCTCTACCACCGCACTAGCAAGGCTCATGCTCTACCTTCTTCCTATTGCCTGCAGCATTATCGCTCAATCACTGTCACCCACTCCAACACCCACACTCTACTCACTCTCTCGACCTTCTGTGCCTCCTACCCACTCACCCAGGACACCCTCACCACTTTACCCTAATCCGTGCTGGCACCAACGGCGATCCCAGCCACTTGTACCTGACTCAATCCCTCCCTTTGTCTCATTTCAAGAGAAAGCAGCCCACAACAGGGCAGACAGAGGCAAGACAGTGGCAGGAAGTGGGGGGGAGTTTCCACGCCCCCTACAAAGAGAGGAATCTTGGACCAGCAGGGGAGAACTGTGAGCACTCATGTCCCAGCAACAAGCAGGATGCAGATCTCTCAGGGGATGCACTGGTAAAGCTGTCTCCTGCACTTTCCATCAGATCAGAGACTGACAAATCAGTAGCTACTTTACCTGGATCAGACTCAAGAACATGCGATTCTGGTGAGCACATCATTGGTGTGGCTCTGCAGCTGACCAAGCGAGTAACTTCCCAGGTCCCTTGCACTCAGAGCACTGGCAGAGACCAGGTACTTGCTCAGTTCCTGGCAGGAGTGTACCCCTTGGAGTTAGCCATTTATAACTCAGTGCAAGTACACAGAAACAGGAGCAGCAGGCAGGATGGTTAGAGAAACTCGCCAAACTGGATGCAAGGTTGGTAGAGTGCATCGATGCTCCCTGTACTATGCTGCCTCTGGCATACTCTTGGCTGTTTCCAGTTACTATGGACAGTGATGTCCAGCACACTCAGAGCCTGCTGACTATGTATTCAGACCGGGAATCTATCACTCGACACCAATCACAAGATAACAAAGGGATGAAGGATCTCAACCTCTTTTCAGGTACTCCTTCCTCTTGTAAAGACAGAATGGTCCAGCAGGCACCCAATCAGAAGGAAAACCACACATAACAGACATCATTCCCCAACCCCCAACCAAAACTTTCCTCCCAGGACAGACCTGGGAGCCTGGTCCCTCCATCTCCAAGGAAGATGCAATTGCCTCAGGCCACTCAGCACATCTGGGCTCTCCAGCCTCAGGTGCCCCTGGGTCACCTGCACAAAAACTGAGGAAGGGTCACTGGACCCGAAATGTCAACTCTGATTTTTTTTCTTTGCAGGCTCCACTGTAGGACAGGCTCTGTCCATCCCAGCTGCAATCCTCGAAATGCATCTAGAGTTGTGGGAGGACAAGGCAGTGGGCGATTTTCTGAAAACACGCATCAACTCATTGTCAATAGAATCTCACATTTGTAAATGCATTGGCATCAAAGCCCATCACCTGCCTGTCGTTTTTAGCTGCAGAGCTTGGACTACGTTAGAATCCTGTCTGAAGGAACGCTGCTCTTTCCTTAATGCCCATCGCAGCGTGACGTCTTTGAATACGGGAGGACCAGATGTTGTGAAGCTTTCTAAGAGTTGTTAATGTGATCTTTTATTGCCCAACAGGAAAAGCAAAGAAAGAAACCAAATAGCTGCATTTGCATTCAGGGTGAATCAAGGGCTGGTTGCCTCTCCACCATCAACATATGCACAGTCAATGAATGATGACTTTGCCCAGTTCAATTCCACTGGAACAATGGGGAACAATATATGTTTCTTTTGGATTATACTACCCTGTCTGACTTGTTGCACCAAGTGTTATAGCCCTACATCCTGGTGAAAGGAACACTCCCCCAACTCAATGTCCTCATCTCCCTCCTCAGAAGCTGTTCCCAGTCAATTTACCACAGTCCTCGATACAGTGGGACATGGAGGCCTCTGCCAAGCAGGGTATTCGGATGTCCCGATGCGGTCCATTAACGTAGAAGACCTTACTCTGATGGATGCTGCACAAGCCAGGTCACTTGCCCATTCCCCTCACTAACTTCTCATGACGGCCCTGACTGATGATGGACCAGCCCTCCGACTGACTTACTGCTGACCACCTGGACTGGACTCAGTCCATTAGACTGCCCGTGGCCCGCTTCCCAGAGTGCAATGAGAGATGGATAATCAGATGGATAATTGGGACCCTACCGACCCAAAACATCAGCTTTCCTACTCTGATGCTGCCTGGCCTGCTGCGTTCCTCCAGCTCCACACTGTGTTATCTCTGACTCCAGCATCTGCAGTTCTTGCTTTCTCTGATTGAAGTGCTGAACTATTTCCTAACCATTTTATAAGTGAGTCTCAAATGTGCCATAATAATGTACTTGGCTGCTATTTGCCAATGGCCAACCTCCATGGACAGAGTATAGCAGTCCCTGGCCATGGAGTGTGTGCTGATCTGTTGGAGAATAGTGTCCATGAAGGTTGCCCAGAGAAGATGCCAGCAGGCTCCAACCTCCAGGCATCACTCCCACTTTCAAATCGGGAATTGTCACTGTCCAGTTCCTCTCTGTATCCTGGCAAACAGCAAGCTGCCTAGAAACAAGACAAGATGTTAAGGCAATGATGAGACACTAATGCAAGCAAGTCAGCCCCTCACCACTCATTCGTGAGACTCTAATCTAGTCATCAAAACATTAAGCAGGAAGTCTGATTTTTAACCCTCAATGCCGAAAATCCTATTTTTCCGTTCTCAGTGTTTATCTCAACATTGCTCACATCAACAGGGAATGGGAAAATTCTACGCAAAGATTTTGTCTTTAAAAACCTTTTTTTGTTTCAGTGCCCTTTCTCCTGGGTTTTCTCATAAGAGGTCATGGATTTTTTTTTTTAACTCCTAGAAACTTATATCCAGTCCTGTAGGGTTGGGCACTGTAGGCTCCAATCTTCATTAACCAAGGGCAGTCATTCCTGTCCTCCAAGCCACTGGAGCCAGTTAATTCCATTGAAATGTCATTCTTCCCTCACCACCTCACCCCAAAACTAGATGCTATTCCATCTTCAGGCAATTTGTTGGAATGTTTAATTGTTTAAATGTTTAATTACAACCTCACACTAAATGGCTTCATGGGCCATTCTCCTCTGTCACTAGGACATCGAACATAAAACATTGAACAGTACAGCACAGGACCAGACCCTTCAAACCACAACATTGTGCCAAACATGATACCAAATTAAACTAATCCCTTCAGCCTGCCCATGGCCCGTATCGCTCTATTCCTTGCATATTCATGTGCTTATCTAAAAGTCCCTTAAACACCCCTATCGTATTGGCCTCCACCACCACCCCTGGCAGTGCGTTCCAGATTCTTACCATTCTCTGTGTAAACAAACTTCCTCCTCACTTCTCCTTTGAACTTTCTCCCTCTCACCTTAAATGCATGCCCCCTAATATTAGACATTCCAACTCCGGGGAAAAGATTCTGACTGTCAACCTTATCTATGCATCTCACAATTTTGTAGACTTCTATTAAGTCTCCCCTCAACCTCCGCCACTCCAGAGAAAACAGCCAGTTTTACTAGCCTCTTCTTACAGCTCATACCCTCTAATCCAGGCAACATCCCAGTAAACCTCTTCTGCGCCTTCTCCAAAGCCTCCACATGCTTCCTGTACTGTGGCAACCAACACTGAACACAAGACTCTAAGTTTGGCTTAAGCAAAGTCTTACAAAGCTGCAACATGACATTCTGACTCTTGCACTCAATTCCCCAACAAATAAGGGCAAGCATGTCATATGTCTTCTTCACCTACCTATATACTTGTGTGGCCACTTTCAGGGATTAAACCCCAAGATCCCTCTGTACATCAGTTGCTGTTCAGGGTCCTGTCATTAACTGTATACTTTTCTTTAACATTTGATTTCCCAAAGTGCAGTACCTCACACATACCCGGAATAAGCTGCATCTGCCATTTCTCCAACCATATCTGCAACTGATATATATCCCGCTGTATCATTTCACAACCTTCTTCACTAACTACAATTCCACCGATCTTTGTATCGTCTGCAAACTCACTAACCCACCCATCTATATTTTCATCCATTTTTATTTATATCACAAACAGCAGAAGTTCCAGTATGGATCTCTGTGGAACACCGCTAGACACGGAACTCCAGCCTTGTATGGGCGAACCAATTCTGAATCCACGTGGCCAAGTCACTTTGGACCCCATGCGTCTTAACCTTCTGGTTGAGCCTACCATGAAAGCCTTACTAAAATCCAAGTAAACAACATCCACTGCTCTATCTTTATCGATCACTTTTGTCATCTCCTCGAAAAATTCAATCAAGTTAGCATGGCATGACCTGCCCTGCAAAACATCATGCTTGACTGTCCCTAATTAGGCCATGCTTTTTTTCCAAACGTACATAAACCATATCCCTAAGAATTCACTCCAATAGCTTCCCAACCACCGATGTGAGACTCACCAGCCTTTAGTTTCCTGGATTTTTCCTATTTCACTTATTGAACAGAGGAACAACATTAGCTACTTGTTGGACATAAATGTTAGATCTGGCCTATATGTACCAATTTTACAGAATACAACTGCAATAAATGCATGTATTTATTAATGATGCAGTGTTTTGATAGACTAATTGAGGAGAAGCTGTTCCCACTGGTAAGTGTGTCACAGATTTAAGATTATTGACTAAAGAATTAATAGGGAGATGTGAGAATTTTAATTTATGCAGTGAGTTATTGTGATCTGTAATGTGCTGCCTGAAGAGGTGAGGGAAGTGATTTCAAAAGTAACTTCATAAAGGAAATTTGATTGAAAAACATTTTAATTGCTAAATATTTGCTATAAGGGAAGAGCAGAGGAGTGGGACTAATTGCGTAGCTCTTACAGGGAGCCAGCATAGAAACAATGGGGTGAACTTTTCGAGCCTTATGAAGCTACTATTAAAATATCTTTGTTCAGGCACTGATCAAGCCACAATAGAAGAACACCCGAAGACACAGTAGGACAGGACATTCCAAGCATAGCTGCCTCTACCTGAACTTTGCCGCACTTCCATCTGTCCATCTGTAGAGGTCAGGGCATCCACTGAACGCGTTGTGGGACTGGCCCTCATTGCTCCTCCTCAATCCAATCCAGAAATCTCCATCTGAAAGCCCAGACCCTGATTTGGTGAGGTCCTGCAGGAGGCTCTCGATTAGCCGCTGTTCAGTGGCTGAGCGGATACTGACAAGGGCTCCCCCATCCATCTCACAAGCCTGACTCGCCTCCTCAAAGCCAATGCGCCTGCTCAGGTCCTGGAAGTAGGCGATCTTGTAGCAGGGGTACTCTGGGCCACCATAGCACACTGTCTGACCTGCAAGAAAGACAATTTGCACCTGATAAGCCACTTCTTAGAGCAAAGTGAAAAATAAACAACAATCCATTGTGCTAGTTTCAGCAATAATTCTGTGGGCAACACTCTAATATGTGGGTATAAAAGGCATGGGTTGTAGTCTCCATTCAGCTAAGAAATATAGGCTGTCCCCATCCAGCGCAGTGCAGACAGAATGCAGAATTATCAACAACATTAGCAACTTACATTTATACAGTGACCCTAGCATGGTGAAACGTGCCAAGATTCATCCAAGAAGTGTTATCAGAGTTTTCCATTGAGGCACAGGAGAAGGTATTGGGTCAAAGAACAGAGAGAATGGGGACAGGACAATTTCTCTTATGGAAGAATTTGGAGCTAGGGGCCACTGAGTAAATATCACCCACTTTAAACAGACATAAGGTGAACCCTTTTATTTTCAGAGTTCATGAGTGTTTGGAACTCTCATTGATGGAGAAGTCGTAGAAGCAGAGTGTTTGTTTTATTTTAAGTCAGGCATGGATAGATTAAACAAGGGGGTGAAAGGTTCGCATGGTATAGGTGGAAATGTGCATTTGAGGTTACAATCAGATCAACCACCATCTTATTGAATAGTGAAGTGGGTTTTATGGGGTATGGGTGTGAATGGCCTCTTCCTGCTTCATCATATATTCATGTGCAGAAGTGGGCTTTAAGAGGCATCTTTAAAGTGGAAAAAAATGTGGAGAGATTTAGAGAGGAAATTATTGGCTTAGCACCCCTCCCCATAGTGGAGTGATTGAAATGGAGGAATTCAAAAGTTGTGGAATGCAGAAGTCTTGGAGGGTTTGGGAGTCTAAAGAGATACCTGATATAGCGCAGCAGCAAGGGCAAGATTGGGTCAAAATCATCATCAAATCCCTACAGTGTAGAAACAGGCCCTTCAGCCCAACAAGTCCACACTGTCCCTCAGAGCATCCCACCCAGACCCATCCCTCATAACCCACCTAATCTACACATCCCTGGACACTATGGGCAATTTAGCATGGCCAATCCACCTAGCCTGCACATCTTTGGACTGTGGGAGGAAACCCACACAGACACAGAATGTGCAAATTCCACACTGACAGTCACCCGAGGGTGGAATTGAACCTGGGTCCCTGGTGCTGTGAGACAGCAGTGCTAACCGCTGAGCCACCGTGCCAGGATGGTGTCAATGGAATTCTTCGCAGGGACTTTGGAATGGATGTGATGGTGGGCTAAGGGCCTGTTCTTCAAATGAGGCTTCAAGTCAAAGTCCAAACTGCCTTTAAATGGATATTAAAGATCCCACAGCCACTATTTTGAAGATTAGTAGAGGAGTTCTTCACAGTGCTTTGGCCACCATCATTATAAACAAAAGCAAATGATTTATTCATTGCTTCATTGCTACTGTGGATTCTAGACATGCACATGTTGCCGACATAACATTAATGATATAGTTCAAATACTTGTTGTGAACTCTGCCATCCTGAACTGGTAAAAAGCCACTATATAAATGCAGTTTCTTCCTTTGTGTGTTCCCATCATGATTAACTAGCCTGCATTTCTCTGTGCCAGGGTACAGATGGCTGTTCCAATTGTAGCTGCCAATTTTTCCCTTACATCAACTTTCTTCAACTTTTATTGGTGCCAGCCTTTGCTGTAATATGGATTCAGCTCTGTGGTGCCTCACACGGTCTATATTCACTCTCTGAGTGTTTGATGGGACAGTGCAGAAGAAACTGTACATGGTATCTAACCCCTGCACCCTACTTTTGCTAAGACTGTTTGACAGGACAGTTGTAGGAGCGTATCCCTCGAACAGTGGCAAAAACTCAGGAGGCAGGCAGGATTCAGGCAAGTGAAAGGTGTTTATTCAAGCAGAAACTGGTTGATGCAGGGAGAGGGCCAAAGAATCTAGCCCAAGTTGGAAGGGAGATCAATGACACACTGTAATTTTCCAAGTACAGCGTTTTATACACTTTGTGTTACAACAATCAAATACAATGCAGTCACTGTCCTTCCCCTTAATTCAAACACCCAATCCCATGGGACACCAAATCATTGATGGACATTCCTAAGTACACCCCATGTTCTCATGATCTCATAGTGTTTACTAGTCATTGTAATCACTGGGCCTTGGGATCTTCCTATACATCCTATTAATTTGCATTCCAAAAGTTATTAGATATATTCCTTCTGGTCTGCCCTAGACTTTCTTATCTCTAAAAGCTGTTTGAATTCTGTTATTCATGGCATTACGTGTACTGCCTTTATCAAATGTAATCATTCCGTTTATATTTCCCACTGTCCTGAATGCGTATAAAAATAGTCAGTTAGTTTAACTAATTGCTATATGATTAATTCGTGTTACGGTTAGCTATAAATTGTAAAGTTATAGAGTTACTTTTACTACTGGCACTTTGTAGCTAATGAGTTGGACCAATCTTTCTTGTTCAGGGTATAAAATAAGGTGTGTTCTAAAGTTAATTAACTTTCACTTCTGGGTTTAAGTGCTTTTTCTCTGACTGCTTGTATTATATTCTGATTATATGTTGTAACCCACTTCTGTGATTATCTGAATAATTCTTTAACTAGTGCCTATCTCTTAACACCATAGGTAAAAAGCTAATTACTACAAAATATCTTTAGCTTTTTCTTTGCAGCTGTTTAGGGAGTTAATCGGATTGGTTCATGAGCTAAGATTTACACCCTTAATGCTATGTCTTTAGTGGATCAGCATCCTTTCATTAATGAGACTATAGTCATTTGTCAGTTCTTAGGCATCCTCTTATCAAAACTGTCTACGATGATGGGTTGCAGGGCGTTTGAACGACCTGGAGTAGCTCTGTTCCAAGATACTATTATGTTTCACTTTAACTGTTTTCATCGGCCATTTTGTGTCTTTCAAGCATGGTCTGCTTTGGTGTAGGCAGGTATGGGTCACTTTGTATGGACAGGTAACGGTCACCCCTACAACAGTGCAGAGGGAGTCCAACACACCACAGAGAGGATTAAGGCTGCACAGCTTAGCTTTGGTATCTTAATATTGATCAGTAGAGTGTCTTATTTTGTCAATTACTTAGAATTTTGCAACCAACCTGCCTCTGTTTAACACACATTCTCTAAGAAGGTTAACTGGATTATAATCAGGAGTAGAAACTCGGGCTGATCATTCACCTAGAAATCTGATATAACTCCAACTGCCAACTGCCACCTTCTGCACTGTCCCCACTGCATTCTCAGCTGTACCAATAACTAGCACTGTGTGGCATCATTAATTGGGGAAATGCCTCAAGGCACTTCACAGCAGTATGGTCCAAAGTGAATGGTGGCTGAGACAAAGAAGGATCCCATTTGGCGGAATGATCAAAAGCTTGATCAGACATGTACGTTTCAGGTTGTGAGTTAATTTCAGGTGGTACATTATCGCCTGCAGAGTTGGAGATTTGTGACTTGTATCCGTGCTCTGGAGAGCAGCTAAACAATTAGTGCAGTATTGAAGATGTGCCACACTGCCAAAGCTGTTCTCCTTGGATAGATGCATTAAAACTAGGGTCCAGCCTGCCTTCTCAGGTGAATGCAAAAGACCCGATTGCTCTACATAATTTATTGTCAATCCCTCTTTGCTTTATGGAAGTGATAGTCAGTGTTTCTCTTGAAACACTGTATTTCATGCTTTTAAGAGCCTAATATGGTCGAGTGACTCATCAGGCCATGTCAGAGGGTAGTTAGGATGTCTGAGTGGATAACTTAACAGCCCTCTTTAATGGCTGAGCAAGCCACTCAGTTGAAAGACATTGGGGATGCGCAACAAATGCTAGCTTTGCCAGTGACCCCAACATCCCACGAAGGAACAAAACAAATTGGTGTAGGACTGGAAAAACGTTGAAGCTAGAAGTGGGCATGAGTGTCAATTTTCCTTGCCTGCAATACATTGAGATGCAGGGCATTGTCAATAGCATTTCATTACAATTCTGTCCGCAAGGAAACATCCAAATATGAGCCTGAGGCAGCCAGGGCTGGGACCTAGATTAATATTGCCTTTTTAAGCATATAATGACTGACACTAACAGCTGCGGCTCAAATCTTGTCTCCAGTTTAGCATCAGCTAGCTCAACACAGAACCGAACCAGACATCTCCTTATCCATATGTCTCAGCTCTTTACTGTCCCATTATTGGTATGTATGATGTGTTATATTTCAAGATGAATTACTCTGTGTATCACAGCCAACTTCATAACTACATTGTCAGCGCTTGAACCAGCCATTAAAGAACTGTAAAGTCAGGAACACTGTGATATAAATGTCAATTTGTTAAAGCACCTTTTCCCAGTGACAAGAATTTGTTAAGATTGCCAGCAAAAAAAAATAAAATGACACCTCCCGATATATATCCAAACATGAACTCAAAGGAAATTACAATCATTTTAAGCCTGCATTATTTTCCTTTCAAAAATCACACTGACAGTTGAGAATTTTTCTATTTCTTTTCAGTGGAAAGATTTGGAAAACTGTCTTGATTTCTGACAGATGAGGACAAAACCTACAATACACCCTAACCCAACAGCGGCTGTTCTCCATCCGAAGACAGAGACTAAGGATGTACCAGCGTGCAGATTATAAAGGGTTTTACTGTGTAGTTATACAGTAAAAAAAAAAGCAAGGAAGGAAATGAGAGTAAAAGCAGGAGCAAACATGAGAAGTGGACCACCAGAAAGCCATGGAGTGGTTTGGAAAGGGTGAGGTTTAGAAGGACTGAGAGTTACATTGCTTCCCACATACAGACAGGAGGTGTTAAGATAATGACACAGATATAAAAACGGGACACGGAAGTACAATTATGTATATTACATATGACTTGTCAAAGAGAAATGCATATGCATACCCAAGGATAAAGAGACTCACACCTTCACACAGACATCCATTTTTGTGTACACAGAGATAGTGTCAGACTAACCCACAGACATGGAGTATAGTCACACACAGTCACATGTATACACATGCAGGCATACACACACAGACACACACAGACGTGCACATGCACACACATTCACACAGATCGTCCAAAAATGTACAGATAGTAGGTTGCATGGTCTCTCATATACAGACAAATACGCATACCATGAAACAGGAGACATGCAGGCATATAATGTGATAGAGATACGTAAGCACACACTCAGATAGTGATTCAAAGAAATTCACATTAATGTAGGAAACACACAAACACAGATAGTTGCTCACACACAAGTGACACAAATTAAAATGGTGTGGGTTTACCCCATATAAGTATATGGAATATATACATAAACATGGATCTACATACATGTACATATGCACATAGTGGAACAATGAAACAGGTAGCAATATTCTAAGTATACACTCAAGACTTTCCAATTGTGTTTTCAGTAGCTATGTTTCAGCCCCCAAAGCATTAAAGAGAAAAATATACATCCGTAGAGTGACATTTTGCAACTTACAATGCTTCACTATTCTGAAGTGCTTCACATTCATAAGACCATAAAAATAGGAACAGAAGCAGGCTGTTCAGCCCCTTGAGCCTGCTGATCTAACATTCTTCACATCAAGGTTTCCACTTTCCCAGTAACCCATGATTCCTCACCTGATCAGGAATCTATCTCAGCCTTAAATATACATGAGGACTCTTCCCCCACGGCTCTCTATGGCAAGGAGTTCCAAAGACTCACAAGATTTAGGATTAAGATTTAGATTTATTGTCACATACATAAAAAATGCAGTGAAAAGTTTTTTTTGCATGTTAAATACAAAGTGTCGCCACACTCCGGCGCCATCTTGAAATGTTAAACATAATCCAAGATTTTACTGCAATAGAGTTCATCTTTCCCTCTTCTTCTTGCTCCTTCTCTGCTGCTAATCCCATTGCTGCTTGACATCAGGGAAGGCCTCTGAAATGGGCTCTAGGGTCTTGGTAATGGGCATCCATTACTTCCACAATTGCGACTTGCCACATCTGATCTGGAGCCAAGGGGATGCGCGGGTTCCGTCCCTCCTGTTCGCCATCCGACGCTGCCACCATTCATCAGGGTCCCCCACCATCCCTTTCACCGATGCTTCAGGTGCCCAGGCCTAGCCGTGGGCCTGCAGCCTTGGCTCAGCCTGCGAGTCCAGACCAGGGGAGTTAACCCGAGGCCTGGTCCTCACCCACCGGCAGATCCGGGGCAGTGGTGGAGCTATATCCAGCTCATCCTGGCATTGCTGCTGCCGGAGGCCTCGGAGAGAAAATTCTTTCTTGTCTTAAATTGGTGCCTCTTTATTCAATGAAATACTTTTGAAGTGCAAACACTGTTTTGAAAACACAGCAGCAAAGTGTAGGCACAGCAAGCACCAACAATCATAAATGCAATAATAGCAAGGCAGTATGTGTGAGGGTAAAAGTGATTCAGGGATAATACTGCCAGAGAAACAATGCTTGACGCACTGGAACCTCTTGGAGCAATAGTGTAACATCACATCCAAAGGATGGCACCCATGATAGTCCAGTGCTTCCACAGTGGGTTAGTAATCCTGGCTTCTGTTCACAGATCTACTGAGGGATTTGAACTCATGACTCATAGACTGTGCCCCAGCTGGTACTTGGGTTGGTATGACCTAATTCCCCAGCAAGTCAATCAAACCAAAATCCAGGCAAATAGGACCTACCTCAGGTGCAATTAAATAGGACAATTGAAAGTCCGCCAAATACTAACTGAATAGGTGAGGGTAAAGGCAGCTCAGATTGCAAACTCTCTTTTACTTTTTGCCCCGCCGCAGATTAAAACTCTCTCCGACCCCGAGTCACGCCGTGTAAGCACAGACAGAACCCACACGTGAAGGGGCAAGGGATAGAATCTCACTCACCGCTCAAAACTCGAGTGCCGGAGCCGCCGCCGAGAACGCCGCTCAGGATCAGCACCAACATCCGAGTGGACAGCTCCTGGCGACGCGGCATTGGGACACGGTGCAGCAACCACACGGAGAGGCGGAGTGCAACCCAGAGAAAGCCAGGGTACAGGGGATGCAGTGCAACTCCGAGAATCCCAGCAAAACGGGGCGAAGTGCAACTCGAGGAACACCAGGGGGGAAAGAAGGGGGCGTAATGCAACTCAGAACTTCAGGAAAACTGGGCTCAATGCAACTTAGGAAAAAGGAGTGCGATGCAACTAGAGAAAACAACTCCTCCAAAATTGGAGTCCCTTGCAGAAGCAAAAGCTGCACTGTCGATCGAGTTTCCTGCGGTTTTAAATGAGGGTTCGTGCGAAGCTTAAAGCAACTTAAACTGGCAGCGCCTCGAGAATAAAGGGTCGATTGAAAATCAGGGACGCGGCCAAAAAACAAAACTGCAAAACAAACGATGGACCAGAGGCTGGGAGCAGGGCAGTCCCTGCAAGTTCGCGGCGATCACAGAGACTGGGCACAGCAGGGGGGGCAGCCTTTCAAAGCAGACTCCCTGTATTTGCGCCCCACTCCGGCTCCCTCCCCCGTTCTCTCGCTGAGTGTGCTGAGTTGTTGCAGAAAGCCTGGCTGCTGTACCCCTGCGCTGAAGCTTTTTATACCGGAGACCAGCTGAGAGAGCATCACAGATTATCAGCATCCTCCTCCTGCCCGTTGCCAACACCCACTCACCCACACCCTTGCCAGTGCCTGTCAAACCCACGCAGAAAATAAAGCTCTGAGAGGCAGCAGGAACTGCGTTCGGCTTGCAAAGAGCAAACTTTATTGCTTATTGGATCCATTAGGTCTGTATTCACTGAAGTTTAGATGAATGGGGTGGAGCAGAAACCCTTAGACTCCTATACAATGCTAACAGGATTGGACAAAGTAAATGCAGCAAGGATGTTCCCGAAAGCTGAGGTGCCCTCACCCAGGGGGTCACAGCCTAAGGATACTGATTGGATTTAATTTATTATTGTCACATTTACCTATATACAGTGACAAGTTTTGTTATGCGTGCAGTACAGGCAGATCATACCATATAAAGTGCATTAGGGTGATAGAACAGAGCGAGGAATACAGCTGCAGAGAAGGTGCACAAGGAGCAAGATCAACATTTAAATTTAAAATCTGAGAGGTAGGCCATTTCGGACTGGGATGAGGAGAAATGTCTTCATCCAGAGAGTGGGAAGCCTGTGGAATTCTCTGCTACAGAAAGCAGTTGAGACCAAAACATTGAATGTTTTCAAGAAGGAGTTAGATATAGTTCTTAGGGCTAAAAGCATCAAAGGGAATGGAAAGACAAGCAGGAACAGGGGACTGAGTTGAATGATCAACCATGATCACATTGAATGGCGGAACAGGCTTGAAGGACTGAATAGCTTACTCCTGCTCCTATTTTTTATATTTCTACTTCATTCTTGTTCAAAATCATGAGGGATTTTTATAGAGTGAAGCTGCTTCCATTGGCAGGAGGCTCGGTGACCAGGGAGGGTGATAAATAATATTTTGGTGAAAGAATCAAAGGAGGAATTTGAGAATTTGTTTTACAGTCAGTGGTTCCAGTCTGGAATACACTGTCTGAAAGTGTGGGGAGAAGCAGATCCTAAGTAATTTACTTGGGGGAACTGGATAAAGGAGCATTACTACCTTTAGGTTCCCCATCACACCACACACCAACCTGACTTTGAAAAATTCCGTAATTCCTTCAGTGTCACTGGGTCACAGTTGTAGATTTCCCTCCCTGTCAATATTGTAGAAGTTCCTACACTACATGGACTGCAGTGGTTAAAGAAGGTAGCTCACTGTTATTTTCCCAAGGGCTACTAGGGATGGGCAATAAATGCTCGTTCAGCCAGTCATGTCCACATCCCATGAGGGAATTAATAAAAGGGATAAAAACTTGAATAACTTTTTTACACTAGGGGAAAAACAAGGGAGTGGGGCTATTTGAATAGCCCTTTCCAAGTTCTGGCACAGATATGAATGGCCTTCTTTTGTGCTTTATCATTTACAATCAATTGTTATTCTTGCAGATTTAACTGAGGCTTCCTATTTTTGTTCTTGCCAGCTTTCTGCCCAGTGCAAGCTTGCATAGACTGGATAGGTTCAGTCATGGGGAGTCCTCTACTTTCAGCTTGTAGCATATAGATATTACAGGCTGCTGCCATTATGAAGGGTGTGAGTGTTGAAGGCAGTGGATGGGGGCCAATTCATCAATCAATCAAGCTTGAAGGTAAGCTTCAAGAAGACAGTTCATCACCACTTTCTCAAGGCCAACTAGAGATGGGCAATAAATGCTGCTGCAGCCAACAATGCTAATGCCCCATGAATAAAAAAGTTGAAACATTCCATCATTCCCTTGACCTATGACTTCCAGAGGGGTGTACAAACTTTAGTGAGTCAGGAAGTGAGTTACTCTCTGCAGAATTCCCAGTCTCTGACCTGCTTTTCTACCCACAACACTTACAGACCTGGTTGAGTTCAGTTTCCCTTTGATGGTAATCCCTGGGGATGTTTTGAAATGAAAAATGTCATTATCAAGTCATTGTCTGGCATTTTGGTGGTGCAAATGTTAGTGCCACTGAGCAGCACAAATCTGAATGCTGTCTAGATCTTGCTGCATTTGGACACAGACTACGAAAGCATCTGAAGAATCACAGAAGATACTATAAGAGCACAAGGCATAGAAACAGAAGTATGCTATTCAGCCCATTGAGTCTGCTCTTTCATGCAATGAGATCATGGATGATCTGATAGTTTTTGACTCCACTTTATTGCCCTATTCACATAACCCTTTATCCCCTTACTGATTAAAAATCTGTGTATCACAGCCTTTAGCATACTTAAAGAGTCAGTCATGATAGCCCTTTGCAGAAAAGAATTCCACAGATTCACAATCCTCTGAGAGAAGAAATTCCTTCACATCTTTGCATTAAATGGGCAACAGGTTATTCTGAGTCTATGCCCTCTCTGTATTAACCTGTCAATCTCTCTAAGAATCTTATATAGTTCAATGAGATCACCTCTCATTCTTCTAAACTCCAATGTGTACAAGCCCAACCTGAACATCATGAACCCTACACAATCGCTGTAGGAACAGGAGGAGGCCATTCTACTGCTTGAACTTACTCTCCCATTAGATCATAATGCAGCTGAATTGAAGGTCAAACCCATTTAATTTTTTTTGCTCCGTGTTCCTTCATACCTTAGTTAAATTTGCACAATCACCTCTGGCAATGCTGTCCACTTGCTTGGCATCACATCCAACAGTAGGCAGAGAAGGCATAAGCAGTATAAGGTGCATGGGAGGTCCAGAAATATAAATTACATCTATTTTACTGCAAGAAGATTGACTGGTAAGGCAGTTGAACTTAGAGTGTTGATCAACACATGGGAATATGATATTGTTGCAATCATTAATTCATGGGTGAAGGAAGGACAGCACTGGCAGCTCAACATTGCAAACTATAGAAGGTTCAGTCATGATGGAGAAATGAAGGAGAGCTGGGGGCATTGCATTAATGATGAAGGAAATCATCACAGCAGTAATGAGGGACAACATCCTAAAAGGGTCTTTAAATGAGGCCATCTAGGTAAAGCTTAGAAATAAAAAAGGGGCGTTTACTTTGTTGGGATGATGCTACAGGCCTCCCAACAGTCAGAGGGAGATAAAGGAGTGAATGTGAAGGCAAATCACAGAAACAGGGTTATATATGTAACGGATTTCAACTTTGCTAACCTGAATGGGATGATCTTAATATGAAAGGATTAGACTAGGGGAACCTTTTAATGTGCATCTAGGAGAGCTTATTGTGCCAGTACATAGATAGTTCAACTGCAGATGAGACAGTGCTAGACCTAATCCCAGGGAATGAAACCGGTCAAGTGGTTGAAGTTTCAGTGGGTGAACATTTTGGGGTAGTGGCCATAACTCTGTAAGTTTCAAAGTAATTCTGGAAAGGGATAAGAATAATTCAGCAGTTAAGGGCCTAAACTGGGGCAGGGCAATTTCAATATCATGAGAGAGGATCTGGCAAACGTAGACTGGAAGCAGCAACTTGCAGGTAGGTCTACATTTGGAAAGAGTCTTTTAAAAGTAGTACAGGGAGGATTCAGGGCCAGCATGTTACTCCAAGAGTGAAGGACTTGGGCAACAAATCTAGGCAGTCCTGGACATCAAGGGATATTGAGAGTTTGATAAAGAGGAAGAAAGAAGCACCACATTAAAACAGGGGAGGCTATTCATAAGTATAGAGAGTGTAGGAGATTGCTTAAAAAGGAAATTAGGAAGCCAAAGAGGGGCCATGAAATATCTTTGGTAGATGTGATCAAGGAAAATGTCAAGGCTTATTATAAGTATATTAAGAGTAAATGGATTTTCAGAGAAAGGGTAGGGCCTATTAACGACCAACTGGGCAATCTGTGGGCAGAACCTGAAGATATGAGTGAAATTTTAAATGAATAATTCTCATTGTTTTTTGTGCTAACCAGACAAATCATATCTTACATAAGTACATCAGGGTAATAGAACAGAATGCAGGATATAGTGTTACAGCTGCGGAGAAGGTGCAGAGAAAGAACAACTTCAATATATGAGAGGCCCATTCATAAGTCTGATAACAGTGGGGAAGAAGTTGTTCTTGAAACTGTTGGTACGTGTTTGCAAACTTTTGTATCTTCTGCCCGATGAAGGAGGGTGGAAGAGAGGGCAACTGGGGAGGGAGGGGTCTTTGATTATGTTGGCTGCTTTCCCGAGGCAGCAGGAAGTGTAGACGGAGTCAATGGAAGGAAGACTGGTTTTCGTGATGGACTGGGCTATGTTCACAACTCTCTGTAATTCCTTGTGGTCTTGGGCAGAGCAGTTGCCATAGCAAACTGTGATGGATCCAGATAGGATGCTTTCTGTGGTGCATCCATAAATATTGGTAAGAAACATTGTGGACATGCTGAATTTCCTTTGCCCTCTGAGGAAGTAGAGACCTTGGTGTGCTTTCTTGACTGTAGCATTGACGTGGA